AAAACTTATGGGATGCAGCAAAAGCAGTTCTTAGGGGAAGTTTTATATCTCTAAATGCTTACATGAATAAACTAGAAAAAGAGGATATCGAAGGATTGGGCATGCAACTAAAAAAGCTAGAAAAAGAACAAATTAAGAAGCTCCAATTAAATACCAAATTAGAAATACTGAAAACCAAAGAACAGATTAATAAAACTGAAATTAAGAAAACTATTGAATAAATAAAACTAAGAGCTGGTTTTATGAAAAAACAACAAAATAGATAAACCTTTGGTTAATCTGATTAAAAAAGAAAGAAAACCAAATTACCAGTATCAAAAATGAAAAAGGTGAATTCACCACCACTGAAGAGGAAATTAAAACATTAGGAACTATTGTGCCCAACTGTATGCCAATAAATTTGACAATCTTAGTGAGATGGATGAATATTTACATGAACAAATTGCCCAGATTAACAGAAGAGGAAGTAAAATACTTAAACAATTGCATCTCAGAAAAAGAAACTGACCAAGACATCAATGAACTCCCAAAGAAAAAAATCTCCAGGGCCAGATGGATTTACAAGCAAATTCTATCAAACATTTAAAGAACAATTATGTAGACTATTTTTGGAAAACAGGTGAAGGAGTCCTACCAAATTCTTTTTATGATACAAATACAGTACTGATACCTAAACCAAGAAGGGTCAAAACAGAGAAAGAAAATTATAGACCAATTTCCCTAATGAATATAGATGCAAAAATTTTAAATAAAATATTAGCAAAAAGATTACAGCAACTTATCACTAGAATGATAACTATGACCAGGTAGGATTTATACCAGGGAGGCAGGGTTGGTTCAATATTAGGAAAACTATCAGCAACAAAACTAACAGAAACCACATGATCATCTCAATAGATGCAGAAAAAGCTTTTGACAAAATACAACAGCCATTCCTATTAAAAACACTAGAGAGCATAGCAATAAATGGAGTCTTCCTTAAAATGATAAAGTAGCATCTGCCTAAAACCTTCAGCAAGCATCATATGTAATGGGGATAAACTAGAAGCATTTTCAATAAGACTGGGAGGTGAAACAAGGATGTCCATTATCACCACTGTTGTTCAGTATCGTACTGGAAATGTTAGCTTTAGCAATAAGAGAAGAAAAAAGAAATTGAAGCAATTAGAATAAGCAAAGAAGAAACTAAGCTATCACTCTTTGCAGATGATATGATATACTTAGAGAATCAAGTAAAAAACTACTTGAATTAATAAACAACTTTAGCAAAGTTGCAGGATATAAAATAAGCCCACAAAAATCGTCAACATTTTTATATATTATTGACAAAGCCCAACAGCAAGAGATAGGAAAATTCCATTTAAAGCTACTGTAGACACTGTAAAATATTTGGGAGTTTACCCACTGAAACAAACCCAGGAATTACATTAACACAATTTAAAAAACACTTTTCACACAAATAAAGTCAGATCTAAATAACTGGAAAAGCATCAGTTGCTCACGGGTAGGCCAAGCTAATATAATAAAAATGACAATTCTATGTAAATTAATTTACTTATTCAGTACCATACCAATCAGACTAACAAAAAATTATTTTATAGAGCTGGAAAAATAATAGCAAGATTCACCTGGAAGAACAAAAGGTCCAGAATATCAAGGGAATTAATGAAAAGAAATGCTAGAGAAGGTGGCCTAGCCATCTTACATTGTATTATTATTATAAAGCAGCAATCATCAAAACTACTTGGTGCTGGCTAAGAAAAAGAATGGTGGATCAGTGCAATAGGCTAGGTACACAAGACACAGTAGTCAATGACTATAGTAATCTACTGTTTGATAAACCCAAAGACCCCAGCTTCTGGGATAAGAACTCACTATTTGACAAAAACTGCTGGGAAAACTGGAAAAGAGTATGGCAGAAACTGGGCATAGATCAACATCTTATACTATATACCAAAATAAAATCAAAATTTAGATATAAAGGCTGATACTACAAGCAAACTGGGAGAGTAAGGAATAGTTTACCTGTCAGATTTATGGAGAACAGAAAAATTTATGACCAAACAAGAGACAGAGAACATTTTGAAATGCAAAATGGATAATTGTGATTACATTAAATTGAAAAGGTCTTGGCAAAAAGCTAATGCAACCAAGATTAGGAGGGAAGTAGAAAACTGGGAAAGAATTTTACAACTAGTGTCTCTGATAAGGGCCTCATTTCTAAAATACGTAGAGAACTGAGTCAAATTTCTAAGAATACTAGTCATTCCCCACTTGATAAATGGTCAAGGAATATGAACAGGCAGTGTTCAGAGGAAGAAATTAAAGCTATCTATAGTCATTTGAATAAATGCCCTAAATCACTATTGATTACAGAAATGCAAATCAAAACAATTCTGAGGTACCACATCACACCTATCAGATTGGCCAACGTGACAAAACAGGAAAATGATAAATGCTGGAGAAGATGTGGGAAAATTGGAACACTAATGTATTGTTGTTGGAGTTGTGAACTGATCCAACCATTGTGGAGAGCAATTTGGAACCATGCCAAAGGGCTTTATCCCAATGAAATAATAAAAATGGGAAAAGGGTCCACGTATACAAAAATATCTACAGCAGCTCTTTCTGTGGTGGCAAAGAATTGGATATTGAGGGGATGCCCATCAATTGGGGAATGGCTGAACAAGTTCATGTACCACAAGGTGGTATATGAATGTAATGGAATACTACTGTTCCATAAGAAATGATGAGCAGGAAACTCTCAGAAAAACCTGGAAGAACTTACATGAACTGATGCTGAGTGAAGCGAGTAGAACCAGCAGAACATGGTACACAGTAACAGCCACATTGTGCAATGACTAACTTTGATAGACTTAGCTCTTCTCAGCAATGCAATGATCTAAGACAACTCCAAAAGTCTCATGAAGGAAAATGCATCCATATCCAGAGAAAGAACCATGGAGTCCGAATGCAGATCGAAGCATACTATTTGCTCTCTTTTTTTGTTTTGTTTCTTCTTTCTTGTGGTTCCTCCCATTCTTCTTTACAACATGACTAATATGGAAAATATGTTTAATAAGAATGTACTATGTAGAGCCTATATCATACTGCATGCCGTCTTGGGGAAGGAAGTGGAAAGGGGGTGGAAAAAATTTAAAACTCAAAAGTTTATGGAAGTGAATGTTGAAAACTAAAAATAAATAATGTAAAAATTTTTAAAAAAAGAAAAAATTACCTCAGTGATCATACTTTTTCAAAAACAGAAATTGGAGTATCTTAATATCTGAAGGTACTTCACAGGACCTTTTTACAAGGCATGGACTACAGGAGATTCCTGGTTCTTGTTTCTTTTTTATAGATGCAGACTTACATATTTATGCATGTGAATATATGTATATATATATATATATATATATTATTCTTGCATATACATTTATGTCTTTCATCCTCTAATGGATGATAAGTTTATAAAAAACAGAGCTCATTTCTTAGTATAACTCAAGTGTCTTTTACAGTGCTTTGCAAACAGTAGTAACTCAAATACCTTTTGACTAAATATTCCATGTGGTAAAATACATAAAATGTGTCTGGATACTTTTTCCCTATGCATCACAGATTATAATCATATTGGTACCCCTTTATGATTGTCTTTTTTCCAATCACTCTTCAAAAAGAATACCTAGTGTCACTCAAAATTTGCATACTTCACCTTTTTTCAGAAATTGCCCCTAACAATCACTTCTTTCACACACATAAAGTGAGATAGAACTACTTCTACAAGAATTTTTAGACCTGATGTTCAAGACTTTGTTTCCCAAGAGGAACAAATATTTTTAAACAGAACTTAAACCCTTTTAATACAGTTTTAAAGTGACTCAAGAAAAAAATGTCTTCGCAGTATTTTTCCATAATGACCTAATACTATATACAGAAATACCAGTTTTACAGAGAAGTGAAATAATTCATCAGATGACTCTGGAACAACACATCTAAAAAAGCAGGACAGTGGAGCGTACTAAAATGAAAAGAGGACAGGATGTGGAGTCAAAGGACCTAGATTTTTAATTAATAGTTCTAGTTCTATTATTTGCTACCCAAACCTTATGTTTCTCATCTACAGACTAAAAGTGGCTCAATTATATGACCTCTAAGCTTCCCTCCATTTTTAGCCCTAAGATCCTATGATTTCAGATATGATTATAAAGCCAATATGAATGCCCTTAAACATTAGCTGAGGATATATATATATTTCACCTATGAAGGAGACCTTAGGTAATGGCTGTAAGAAAAAAAAATCTAATCACACATCTATAACATATGTATAACACATTTGTGTATTTCACATGTAAAGTATATTTATGTAATTATAAAAGTCTGAGAAGAATTTTATATATTTCTAACTAAATGGTAATTTGTTTTTAAGTTCTAAAGTTGATATATAGATTGTGATACTAAGTACCAAATTCCAGTTAACCTACTCTTGAAGCCATGCTGGTTCTTTGTAATCATTACTTTTTCTAGATTTTCAGTGACCACCTCTTTAATGATCCATTCTAGAATTTCCTCAGGAATCAAAATTAAGCTCACCAACCAAAGAGTTTCCCCTTCTTGCGACCAGGCAGTCCTGGGGTCCATTTGAGATTTTTGAGGTGTCCCAGGAATTCCAGGTCCCAATAAAGCCCACATACTATTTAACTTTGAGAGAAAAAGGTCACTCTTCTATCCAAAGATAAAGGCCTCAAGTCTAAAGTTGCAAGCTGAAAAAAGTTTCTTGGTTATAGGTGTGTGATATACGAAGTAACCAATTTCACTAATTTGCACCTGTTTTTTCAGGTGTGCTGGTTTCAGGGTTTTCCACTTAGCATGCAAAAGAACTTAAGTCCTATTTGTGGTATGTGTGAAATCAATAAAATAAAGGTTTGAGATCAAGAAAAATCAGAAAGGGGAGGAATAAAAAGTGATTTTAAGTATGTTAAATACTATTTAATAATTTTTACCTTTTTGTTCCCACTCTGTGGTTTGGAGCTATATCAATGGTATCTGTGGCTGAATCATGTCTTACTGCAAGTCCTAAGTCTGCAATACAGCATGTTCCATTCTTCTTGACTAAAATATTCTTTGATTTCAGATCTCTATGGGCAATTGCTGGTTTGCCTAAAGGAACAAAAGTTAAACATGATTGTAGAAAAGATACTATGTCAGTAGCCACAAATTATCAGTCTTTTATTTAAGACAAAAATAAAATATAAAAGTAAATGCCTACTATGAAAATGTAGACAGAAAAATATTTCAGAGACTATGTCTAGTATACTCTCTAATAATCCTTTCCAGCTAGGAAAACTCTATTATTCTGTTAACTCAAGGACTGAAAAACATTCACCCTGGAGATTAGTCAAAGAAATTCTGATCCCGGTTTGCTTTTTTCCCCTATCATCTAACTACCAACCTACTTCTTTATGCTGCCAAAGTTGATAAACAGAATGATTTAGTATTAACCTAGACAGTAAAAAATATCTAATTTTTAAAAATTATGTAAAGAATGCTTTTTATAATTCACTATTTTGAAATATCCAAAAGCACTGAATCTTAGTCTATCATTATGTATAATTGTAAAATTGTCTATATTAAGCATTAATATTTAAAAATATGTTTTCCCAAAAATTTGAAATCTGCCTTGTTTTTCCTACTCCTGCTCAGGAAATTACTTTGTAATTTACTTTGTGCATAATTTGCACTGATTTTACTGTATCCATCTTCTCTCTCTCCAGATGGAAGGTAACCTCATTGAAGGTAGGCCCTGGAACACAGTGAGCACTTAAATGCTTGCTGAATTGAACTGGATCCCAAAATATCCACTGAATCAGTGATCACTCTCAGCTTTAAGTCATCTACAAATCTGATTAGATCACAGGACGACTGCTTCAGAACTGGAAATGACTATAAAGATCATCTAGTAAAACCCCCCTCATTTTACAGATGAGGAAACTGAAATCTAAAGAAGAAAAATGACTTGCCCCAAATCATATAAGAGGCTGAGCCAGAATTGAACCCAAGTCCTCTGACTCTAAATCAGCACTTTTCCTACTGTACCATAGCTCTTACACTTTTATTTGTACCTCTCTAGTACCTCTTACTTGACATCCATTAGCTCTTTGAATCACAACTCTCTGCATACAGGTATTCGATGTTCCAAAGCCACCTAACTTAATAATTTTTGAAATTATCTCATTCTGGGCAGAGCCAAGATGGCAGAGTAGAGGCAGCAACCCAGCTGAACTTTCCCAACATTCCCCTCCAAACAACTTTAAAATAATGCATAAAGTCAAATTCTGGAGTGGCAGAGCCAACAAAAGGTCTAGATGAGACATTTTGCCAGCTCAAGACAGCTTTAAGAGGTCAGCAGGAGAGGTCTGTGACAACAGAGTAGGAGCTGGCCCAAAACACATGTCAGCAACACTAACAGTGGGTCTTGGAGGTGGCTGAAATAGTAGCAGCAGCAACTCTGGGAGCTCTCAGACCAGAGACAGTAAGGAGAACGGAAAACTGGTCAGAAAGACCAGGAGACCCTGTTCTGACCAGGGGCACAGGATCAGATATTATCTGGCAACTCCACTGCCCACACATGGTTCTGGTTTACAGTTGTAAATGAGAAATGCTAGCAATTGTTGCTATAGGGGAGCAGGTACCTTTCCCGCATAAAGATCAGAGGGCAGACCAGTGACCACACTTCTGTCAAGATATCACCACCTTAAAAGCACTGAAAACTTGTAGAACCCTAGAACTGGCTCTGAAAACAGCAGTGCAAAAAAACTTTAAATTTGGGATAGTGCCTCCTCCCGACTTTCAGGTGTGCAGAGCTCAACTTGAAAAAGAAAGTTGAAAAGAAAAAAATAGGCTGGCAAAACAAGCAAACAAAAAACTTGAACATAAAAAGTTACTATGGGGCAGCTAGGTGGCGCAGTGGAGCCAGAGCAGTGACCCTGGAGTCAGGAGGGCCCGAGTTCAAATACAGCCTCAGACACATAACATTCACTAGCTGTGTGACCCTGGGCAAATCACTTCACCCCACTGCCTAGCCAAAAAAAAAAAAAAGAAATTCAATGTGGGGGCAACTAGGTAGTACAGTAGATAGAGCACCAGCCTTGGAGTCAGGGGGACCTGAGTTCAAATTCGGCCTCAGAAATATAACACAGAGCTGTGTGACTCTTGGCAAGTCAATTAACCCCAAATGCCTCAAAAAAGAAAGAAAAGAAAAGAGAGAAAAGTTACTATGGTGGCAGGGAAGACCAAGACACAAACTGAGAAGACGACTACATGAAAGAGCAAAGAAAGTCTCAAAGAAAAATGCAAACTGGACACAAGCCCAACAAGAATTCCTGGAAAAAGCTAATGAGATAAGAGTGGTAGAGGAAAAAACTAGGAAAAGAAATGAGTGATGCAAGAAAATTGTGAAACTCCCTATTTGACAAAAATTGCTGGGAAAACTGGAAAAGAGTATGGCAGAAACTGGGTACAGACCAAAATAAAGTCAAAATGGGTTCATAATTTAGATATAAAGGCTGATACTATAAGCAAACTGGGAGAGTAAGGAATAGTTTACCTGTCAGATTTGTGGAGAACAAAAGAATTTATGACCAAATGAGAGATAGAGAACATTATGAAATGCAAAATGGATAATTTTATTACATTAAATTGAAAAGGTTTTGGCAAAAAGCCAATGTAACCAAGATTAGGAGGGAAGTAGAAAACTGGGAAAGAATTTTACAACCAGTGTCTCGATAAGGGCCTCATTTCTAAAATACATAAGAGAACTAAGTCAAATTTCTAAGAATAAAAGTCATTCCCCACTTGATAAATGGTCAGAGAATATGAACAGGAAGAAACTAAAGCTATCTATAATGATTTGAATAAATGCTCTAAATCACTACTGATTAGAGAAATGCAAATCAAAACAATTCTGAGGTTCCACAACACACCTATCAGATTGGCCAACATGACAAAACAGGAAAATGATAAATGTTGGAGAAGATGTGGGAAAATTGGAACACTAATGTATTGCTGGTGGAGTTGTGAACTGATCCAACTATTTTGGGGAGCAATTTGGAACTATGCCCAAAAGGCTATAAAAATGTGGATACTCTTTGACCCAGCAATGCCAAATGTATACCAAAGAGATCATAAAAGTGAGAAAAGGACTCATGCGGACAAAAATATTTATAGCAGCTCTTTCTGTGGTGGCAAAGAATTAGAAATTGAGGGGATGCCCATCAACTGCAGAATGGCTGAACAAGTTGTGATATGTGATTATGATGGAATATTATTGTACTCTAAGAAGTGATGAGCAGGATGTTCTCAGAAAAACCTGCAAAGACTTGCATGGGCTGATGCTGAGTCAGAATGAAGAGAACATTGTACACAGTAACAGCCACGTTGTGGAATGACTAACTTTGACAGACTTAGCTCTTCTCAGCAATGTAAGGATCTAAGGCATCTCCAAGTCTCATGATGGAAAATGCTATCCACATCCAGAGAAAGAACTATGGAGTCTGAATGCAGATCAAAGCATACTATTTGCTCTTTTTTTCCTTCTGTTTCGTTTTGTTTCTTCTTTCTTGTGGTTCCTCCTATTGGTTCTAATTCTTCTTTACAAATATGAAAATGTGTTTAATAGGAATGGATATGTAGAGTCTATCTCAGACTGAACACTGTCTTGGAGAGGTAGGTGGGGAAGGAAGAGGGAAGAAGGAGAAGAAAATTTAAAACTCAAAAGCTTATGGAAGTGATTGTAGAAAACTAAAAATAAATTAATTAAAAACATTTTTTAAAAAAAGGAAAATTATAGGAAAAGAATTAACAGCTTAGGTTTAAAAAAAAAAGACACAAAAAATACTCAAGAAAATACCATAAAAAACAAAATTGGCCAAATGGAAAAAAGTGACACAAAGCTCACTGAAGGAAATAATTCCTTAAAGATTAGAATTGGACAAGTGAAAGCTAATGATGTTATGAGACATCAAGAAAAAAATACAAATCAAAAGAATTTAAAAAATAAGAAAAAATGTGAAAAATCTCATTGGAAAAACAGCTGACCTGAAAATAGATCGAGGAGAGAGAATTTAAGAATTACTGGACTACCTAAAAGCCATGATCAAAAAAAGAATCTAGACATCGTATTTCAAAAAGTTGTCTAGGAAAACTGCCCTGATCCAAAGGGTAAAATAGAAACGGAAAGAACTGCTTCCTGAAAAAGATCCCAAAATGAAAACTCCCAGGAATATCATAACCAAATTCCAGAGCTCTCAGATCAAGGAGAAAATATTGTGACCAGACAGAAACTATGCAAATAGTGTGGATCACAGAAGATTTAGCAGGTTCCACATTAAAGAAACCTTGGAATATACTCCAGAAGACAAAGGAGATAGGATTGCAACCAAGAATAACCTACCCAGGAAAACCGAGTATAATCCTTTAGGGGGGAAATAAAGTTCACATTTAATGAAATGGAGGACTTTAAAATATTCCTGATGAAAACACAAGAACTGAATAGAAAATCTGACAATTAAACAGAAGACTTAACAGAAGCATAAAAAGGTAAACATGAAAGAAACCAAAAGAGACTTAATAAGGTTAAACTACTTACATTTCTATACGGAACAATACATGTAACTTGTAAGAACTTTATCATTATTAGCGCAGATAGAAGGAATCTACACAGATGGGGGACAGATGTAAGTCAATTATATGGCGATGATCTTTAAAAATGAAGGGGTTAGAAAGAAGGATGCACTGGAGCAAAGGAAAGGAATAATGGTGAAATTATTTCACATAAGAAGGCATGCAAAGAAGAGCTTTTACAGTTAAAGAGAAAATGTGGGAGGGGACGGTAGGCAATGCTTGAACCTGACTCTCACTGGAATTGGAATTGGAAGAATGCACGCACATGCACGCATGCACACACACACACACACACACTGTCAGTTGGGGTACAGAAATATATCTTATCCAACAGAGAAATATGAGGGGAAGGAGATAAGAGACACAGAGCAATGATAAAAGGGTGGGTGAGGAGGGAAAGAATAAAAAGAGAGAGAGGATAGACAAAAGAAAATATGATGGGAGGGAAATGTAGAGTTAGTAATCCTAACTGTGAATGTGAATGGGATGAACTCATCCATAAAATACAAGTGGATAGCAGAATGGATTAGAAACCAGAATCCAACAATACATTAATGTTTACAAAAAACACATTTGACACAAAAGATGTACAGAGTAAAATAAAGGGTTGGAGCACAGTCTATTTTGCTTCAGCTGAGGTAAGAAAGGCAAGGATAGCATATATGATCTCAGCAAAAACAGACCTGAAAGAGATAATCAGGGAAATTACAATTTACTGAAAAGTGTCCGACAATGAAATAATGTCAAAAAATTTTATTGCCAGTTTTTCTGATAAGGGCCTCTTTTTTCAAATATACAGGTAACCAGGTTAAATGTATTTAAAAAAAAAAGAGCCATTCCCCAATTGATAAATGGTCAAAGGATGTGACAGGTTCAGACAAAGTTAATCAAAGCTGTCTCTAGTCATATGAAAAAATGATCTAAATCGCTACTGATTAGAAAAATGCAAATTAAAACAACTCTAAGCCACCACTCCACACCTATCAGATTGGAAAATGACAGGTACTGGAGGGCATGTAGGAAAATTGAGACATAATGCACTGTTGGTAGAATTGTGGACTGACTCTGTATTCATTCTGTACAGCAATTTGTAACCATGCCCAATAGGGTTATAAAACCATGCATATTCTTTTACCCAGCAATACCACTACTAGGTCTGTATCCCAAAAAGGTAAAAATCAGGAAAAGGATTTCATGTACAAAAAATATTTATAACAGGTATTTTAGTAGTGGCAAAGAGCTAGAAATTGAGGGGATACCCATTAACTGGGGAATGGTTGACCAAGTTGTGGTATATGAGTGTGACAGAATACTACTGTGCTATAAGAAATGATTAGCAGGATGATCTCAGAACAACTTAGAAAGACTTACATGAATTGAAGCAAAGTGAAGTAAGCAGAACCAGGAGAACATTATACACAGTAACAGCAATACTGTATGACTTAGCTATTCTCAGCAATACAACAATCTAAGACAATTTAAAAGGATTTATGATGGAAAATGCTATCCATCTCCAGAGAAGGAACTGATGTAGTCTGAATCAGTTCTAAGCATACTTTTTTAACTTTATTTTTCCTGTTTATTCTTTTGATCTGTTTTCTTTCACAACCAACATGACTAACATAAAAATGTTTTACATGACTGCACATGTATAATCTATATCAAACTGCTTGCCATCTCAATGGGGGGAGGAGAGGGAAGGAAGGGAAACAGTTTGGAACCCCAAATTTTAAAAAACCCCAAACATTACAAACTGTTTTTACATGTAATTGGGGAAAACCCAAAATATTAAATTTTTTTCAATAAGGATCTGCCTTTGAAAAGGCTTCCTACTTTAATATATAAAAATTATGGAGCCAGATAATATAAAAAAAAAAAACCAAGTGCATGAGTGAATGATGTTATTACATTATACATGACTGGAATGCAGGTAGAACTGAAAGTAAGTAAAATGTTTTCAAATTCTTAGTAATAGTAATTTTACTATATTATTACTGCACAGCTAAGAGATCACACATATAATCCTATTTCATAAGAAGATTTCATTCTCAGATACCTTGGAACATTCTCCTATAAATACACAAATAATTTTAGTCTAATTCTTAAGAGTACTAAGTCTTTTCAACACCAGAACCAAGCACAGATACTACAGAATACTTTTGAATTCACAGTAATATACTAATGAGATGAAGTTGATGAAGGAAAATTAGCAATAGAAATCATTTCCAAGTTCATATCACAATTTAACCTGAGATTAATTAGAAATACAGGTTTCTTAATAATCATCTCTTAGTAGAGTCGCATATAAACACACTACATTGCAACCATTCTGCACTTATATGAATAATGAAACCTTACCTTGAGTGCCAACAATCTCCATGTGAAGATGCGCAAGTCCACTAGCAGTGGATAAAGCTAGTTTTATCATTCCTTCCACAGTAACTGTATACCTATTCAAGTAATCAAAAAGGGACCCATGCTCATGATAATCTGAAACCAACCACAGCTGAGTCCATGTACCATTGTCTGCAAAACAAATGAATAGCAAAATTTTCTAAGATTTATACAAAGTATTTAAAATTATGTTACATAAATGGTCATATCTAGCTTTTAATACTAAAACACTATGGCAACACCATCCCATATTCGCTTTAGAAGTTTTGTTTTGCATTTGCATCATACTTTTCAAAGAGCTTTTATATATATGTATACACACACACACACACACACACACACACACACACAATATCTATTTGACCCTTAAAATAACTCCTTATTGTAATCAGGTCAAAGATTAAAACTCTTGATTTTAGAAGAAAAGGAAACTCAGGATGAGACACTGAGTGACTTGTCAGGGACGATGCCTATATTCCTGACTCCTGATGTGTTCTTTTCACTCCACTGAGTAATAACACTGTATTATTTTAAATTTTTTCTATGTGTACATGGGTCACAATGTCTCTTTTTCAATGACTAGTTTATGTCTGGAGAGGCTCTTCAGCACGCCGGCCATACAGAGATAAATTCTCAAAAGACTATCTACTAACTTGAAGGGCATTTGTAACCCACGTTGGTGGGCTTACCAGATCCCTGATGCTTGGACTTGAATTTGAATTGCAGTTGCATTATTACTACATATATGACCTTAAACATGCCAGAACACCTCTAGACTTGTTTCCTCATTTACAGCAATGGTCTCCCACCCAAACAGAAGTCCCTGGGGGACTGTGGCACAACACTGAAGGAATAGATTATCTAATCAGCCAAGTACAGTGTGAGAAGCCACATTTACTTATTTTCATTCATCATCCCAACACTCTTCCAACCTGGCCCCTCAGGACAATAATAACCAAACGCTGACCAGATAACTTACAGTGGCAACTGTTCAAGGGTTTTCTTGGCAGAGACACTGCAGTGATTTGCCATTTTATTCTCCAGCTCATTTTACAGATGAGGAAACTGAGGCAAACAGGGTTAAGTAACTTGCCCAGGATCACACAGCTAGAAAATGTCTGAGGCCATATTTGAACTCAGGAACATGAGTCTTCCTTACTCTAGGCCCAGCACTCTATCCACTGTGCTACCTAGGCTGCTCTACACCTATACATATCTTCCACTTATTTTATTGTTTCTATAAAGTACCCCGAGTTTCAAAAGCATACTTCACTTTAGAAAGAATCACTGATAAGAACCGGGGGGAAGAGGTAGGTTCCAAATAATTCTTTACACTTAAGTAAAGAGAAACAAAAAAATAGCACCTCTCTAGGTCAATCACCCTCTAGATGTTCTGAAATGGAAAATAATGGGTCACTTTGGGGGAATGAAAGGTAAAGAAGGAGGTAGGTCAACGAATCTATACATTGACCCCTTGGTGCCTGATCAATTATATGGATACTTCATAAAATTGAGTGTTCCAAATCAGAGCTGTCCTATAATCTTAAAATAACCAGGAAACATGTCTAAAAGTCCTACCTAGTATAAAGACAAAGTACTTCTACCTCAAAAAGGCAAAAATAATGTCAAATACTATGAATCTAAGAGTGGTAAAGATGTAATTTTTAACTCTTCAATAGTGGATAATATAGGATGAAGTAGATAACTGAAATCCAGTTTAGGTCTTTTAGATACCATTTTCTTCCCTTGCCCCAAACAAAGCAAAAATCAAATTCAGGATGCTTGGCAGAAAAATCCGGAACAGATTTAACTAGATTATTTTGAAGGTCCCTTCCTGCTCTTTTTCTACAATCTTGTTACAACATTATCCCTAAATACCACTTGAAGATGAAAAATACACAAAACTCAGACTACAACAAATAAAGTTGTCATTTGATAGCATATTCATTAGACTTCCACAACATCCATCAACTTTTGTGATTATGATTAATTGCCCATTATAAAAGCACTTTGTCACCACTGCCTCATTTGATCCTGACAATACTTTAAGTATGGTAACCAGGAGACAAGAAGATTGGTGAGATTCCAAAAGAAACCTGGAACTAGGAAGGAAACATGATTTGGGGTGGTGGTTTCAAAATGAATTCAACTAATAATCTAACAGAATTGAGATCTAAAGAAACTCTGATAAGCTGAAAAGATGGAATGAATCTAATAAGATGAAATTTAATAGAGATAAATATGAAGTTTTATACCTCATCTCACTTTCAATCATAAATGCTCACATTTATATGATGCTTTGTTTTACTGTATTTACATGGTAATTTTCTATTTCTGACCAAATTTCACTAGTTAATATTAATGAAATCTTTTAAAAAACCTATTAAGTTGATTTTGTCAGAAGTAACATAGAGAAAATTTAAAGTTTACCAACCTTTATTGTCAGCTGCTATGAACCCCAGAATGTTTTCATGACGTAACATCACAGTTTGATAAATCTCTGCCTCACGGAACCAGGAACGTTCTTCTCTTGAGGAAAATATTTTTACTGCAACTTCCTCCCCTCTCCATTTTCCTCTCCAGACTTCTCCAAATCGACCTTTCCCAATGCTTTCTTGCAATACAATAGTTCTTGCAATAGTTCTTTGAACAAGTAATGGTAATCCTTTAAAAAAATTATTATCGTTAATATATATAACTAAACAATATTATGTCTTATATACTGCATATGAAACATGCAAAAAGAGTATGAAGGCTAGTACAAATCCATATAAGAACATGGTCACTATCATTACAGAGCTGCCCAACCGGACTATTAGTTGATTAACTAACGAGCAAAATAAGGACACTCTAAGTATTATAATAGTTCAGAGGACAGAAAGCTTCACCTAGTTAAGAAGGCTTCTCAAAGAAGCTAGCATCTGAGTGGAACTTTGAAGGACAGGTAGTATCTACAGAAACAGAGAAGGAATTCCAGGTAGAAGGAAATACAAGTAAAGCCACAAAAATAACCAAATGAGGTGATAATGAAGTAAACTAACCTCAGCAGAGAATGGGGGCAGCTTTATAAAGACAAGCTACAGTCACATCAAATGACTTTAAATGTCAGGATGTGGAGTCTGAACTCAGAACAAGTCAGTCAGTCAGCAGCATTTATTAAGCACTCACCAAGAGCTAGGCACTGTTGGAAGCACTGAGGATACAAACACAGGCAAAAACAATCCCTGTTCTCAAAGAGCTTACAGTCTAATGGAGGCTGGAGAGACACATAAACAACTCTGTAGAAATAAAGTTACATACAAGATAAACTGGAAGTAATCTCAGAAGGAAAGCACTACCATGCTTTGGAACAGAAATTTAAAAAAAAAAAAAGGTTTCTTGAAGAAAGAAGGATTTTAGCTGGGACCTGAAGGAAGCCAGGAAAGCCAGGAGGAAGAACATTCCAAGCAGTGAAAAAAGCCAGTACAAATGACTGTGGATTAAAGTGGAAAGGAGTAATTAAACTGGAAAGGTAAGAAGGAGTTCATTATAAAAGGCTTTAAAAGTCAAATAATGATTTTATACTTTGTTGTTGTTGTTCAGTCACATCCAACTTTTCATGAACCTTAAGAATTTTCTTGGCAAAAATACTGGAGTGGTTTGCCATTCCTTCTTCAGTGGATTAAGGCAAACAGAATAGTAAAGTGACCTGCCAGTGTCATACAGCCATGACTGTCTGAAGCCAGATTTGAACTCAGGTCTTCCTGACTCCAGGCCCAGTGTTCTATCCACTGAACTGTCTAGCTGCCATGAGCTGTAAGGGGAGTTCAGGGGGACTGGCACCTCTGGTGTGAGGGTTTTCCGAGCCCTTTTTAGGGCTGCTCATCCACTTTTGGCATTCACCTGTCACCCAGCTCTCACCTATGGCTCCAAGATATGCAGATAGCATGTGCAGCAGCCATACTTAGGTAAAACCATTTCAGCAGACTGGCTAAACCAGGTTGAGAGTAACTGATAAGTCTCAAACACAAATTGGTGAAGTAGGGGGATGTGTACCCCAAGTATGTGAAGATATCCCCTTGGCAGAACAGGCAGATGGGAACAATTTGTTCTAATGGCTATGAAGGTGGCAGAAGTAGCCACTGTGGAGCACTTAGAGTTTGGTCAGACATCAAAGATGTCTGTGTCATCATCATCCACTGCATCTGGTCATCTTGACTTCTGTCTTGCAATTGGACTCCAAAGAGTCTGAAGGAGAAAGCAAGACTTTGGGCAACTCTGTCTCACTTATATTCAATTCACAAGAAGTCAAGACATCACCCATGATGTCACTGGTCCTCTTCAAAAACGCAGGATGAACAACAATGATCTTATATTATTTTATGACTGATCCAATGATTTTATATTGGATCCTGAAAGTAATTGGGAACCAATAAAGTTTATTAATGAAGGGGTGTTACATAGTCAGGCCTGTACTTCATAAAAATTACTTTGGTAGCTGGAGAAGTATGGACTAGAATAGGAGAGATTTAAGGCAAAGAGACCAATCAGAACACTATTAATTACAATAATCCAAGCATGAGGTGATAAGGGCGTGTAACAGTGTGGTGGCAGCGTCAGAAGAAAAGGAGGTATATGAAAAATCTTGTGAAGAGAGAATCTACAGGATTTTGCCAACAAATTGGATATACCAGGGGAGAGTGAGGAGTTGAGAACAACAGCTAGGTTATGAGCCTCAGTCATCAGGAGGCTGGTGAAATTCTTCAGAGTAGTAAGAAAGTTAACAAGAGGGGAGGGCTTGAGGGAAACATAGTTAAGTTTAGTTTTGACCATGTTGAGTTTAATTTAAGAGGCCTAGGCAGAGGCATTCAATAGAATTTGAAAAACGTGAGACTAGAGGAAGGTTTAGGCTAGAAATATAGATCTGAAAATTATCCACCTAGAGATACAGAATCTGTGGGAGCTCATGAAACCATCAAATACGTTTGTATATACATATACACACATGTGTGTGTGTATACACACTCATACACATACACACACACGTGGGGGGCAGGAGGAAAGCAATCAGCTAGATGGCATGAAGAGTAAGATGTGAGTGAAATGACCAAACAATAGCACAGCAAGAGCCCTAGGTCAGAGCCTTGAGAGACATGTATGATGACATGAATAAAGATCCAGCAAAGAAGACTAAAAAGGAGAAAGGAGTGTCATCAAAACAGAGAAAAGAGAATATCAAGGAAAAGAGGGTGAGTGGCAGTGTCAAAGGCTACAGAGAGGTCAAGAAAGATGAAGATTGATAAAAGGTCATTAGTTTGGGCAATTAAAAGAGCACTGATTTCTTGGAAAGACCAATTTTGGTTCACCGTCAAAAGACAAATTGGAAAAAGTTAAGAAAGAGAGTGAGAAGAAAGAAAGTAGAGGCATTGATTGTAGATATCTTTCTCAAGGAGTTTAGCCACAAAAGGGAAGAAAATAGGAGAGCTGGGAAAAACAAAAGATCAACTGTGGATTTATTTTTTTAAAGGCGAGGACATATGGACTTGTGAGTAAAGAGAAAAGAAGCAAGCAAACAAACAAACCTTTATTAGGCACTTACTATGCCAGGCACTGTAAATACTGGGGATACAAGCCAAAAGAGAGACAATCTTTGCCTTTAAAGAGCTTACATTCTAATAGGGGAAGACAACATACAAAAGGGGAGTTGAAAAGTAAAGGTTTAGGGGGTATGGTTCTGAAGTCTAGAAAGTCAAGAATAGTTTGGAAGGTAATGAAAGCCAGCACTGGGCCCTTCCAAAAAACTGAGGGAAGCAGAGAAAGACTGAAGATTAGTGAAAGAGTGGTGATGACAGAGGGGACAATTTGCTCAAGAAGTAGGGATGGAACAAGACATGTACATATTGGACCTTGGCAAGAAGGGCCACCACTTCAAGAGAGACAAGGGTGGAGGAGGAGAGAAGACAAGAAAGCTATCAATAAATTTTTTTTTTCAGTGAAGTGAGGCAAGGTTATTAGCTGAAAGGGGTGAAGGGAGAAGGAGCCATGAGAGATTTGTGGAAGGATGAAAAAGGTTTGGAAAAGCCATTCTGTTGATTGGGACAGTAAGTGAATTGATTAGTAAGGTATAAAAGGATTGCCTTGATGCAATGGGGCCCAGTTGAGACTATGTCATAAATTTGTGGTTTTGTGACAAGATAAAAAATTAATTCATGTGGCATATGGAAAGTAGAGAGACTGAAAAGCAGACCATGTAAGAGATTTATGTAAAAGTTTAGTCATGGTGTCAACGACTTCACTCCAAAGAACCCTAAAGTTAAAATGAGTTTTAGCCAAAATTTTAAAAGCTTTAAAAAATATCTAGTGCATGACTTGAAAAGAAATCAGTGTGCATCTAACAATTGTCTGTTACATTAAAGATAACAAATCGCTTGATTTTGTTAATGGGGCAAGTTTAAACTAAAATAGCCTCGCATTAAAAATGTGTTTGAGAGAGGCAGAGCCAAGATGGTACAGTAAAAGCAGTGACTTGCTTGAGCTCTCCCCAAAACCCTCCAAATACCTGTAAAAAATGGTTCTAAATAAATTCTAGAGCAGCAGAACCCACAAAAAGAGTGAAAAAAATTTCCAGCCCAAGGGAACCTGGATGGTTGACTGGAAAGGTATATTGTGCTGGGCTGGGAGAGGAGGACAGTTCAGCACGGGCATGCAGGCAAAGACCTGGCCTCAGTGAACATGGAGCAGGCCTCATGCAACTGAATCACAGGCAACTGTGGCAGTTTCCAGACTTCTCAACCCACAAACACCAAAGACAACTTAGAAGGTCAGTAGGAAAAGTCTGTGACTATGGTGAGAGAGAAGCTCAGTTCCAGCACTAGTCTTGGCACAGCCCTGGGTCAGCAACTGCTTCTGGAACTCAGCCTACAGACATAGGGGGAATCGAGTGGCTAATTAGAGGGGGATTGCAGGGATCTCTTTGCTGGTGCCAAGGCAGGAATCTCTTGCTTTACCTGTGCTTGGATCTGGGTCACAGTTCTGCGTGGCGGTCCTGGGTTGAGGAGGAGCACTAGTGTGGTGGAGCTTGTAGTGGCAGTGAAGAAGGAATCCTCCTCACAGTTCCAAGGCAGGGAAGAGTATTTGTGGTCACTTATAGACCACAGCACAGGCCAGGAAAGGAGGAAACATCTTGCCCTTGATCATATCACCTTGGAAGAACTGAAAATTTACAGGTCCCTAGAAGTATCTCTGAAAACAGCTGCACAAAACCCCTGAAGCTTGGGACAGTACATTCTCCACACTGGAAGCAGACCCCTACCTTAACAAAGAGTTTAAAACTCAAGTAATTGGCTGAGAATGTGAGCAAACTATACACACACACACACAAAAGTCAGATCATAGAATCTTTCTTTGGTGACAAAGAAGATCAAAACATACAACCAGAAGAAGATGACAAAGTCGAAGCTCCTACATCCAAAGTCTCCAAGAAAAATACGAATCGGTCCCAGGCCAGGGAAGAACTCATAAAGGATTCTGAGAAGCAAGCAAGTGAAGGAGAAGAAAAATAGGAAAGAGAAATGAGAGTGATGCAAGAAAATCATGAAAAACAAGTCAACAGCTTGCTAAAGGAGATCCAAAAAAATACTGAAGAAAATAACACTTTAAAAAATAGACTAACCCAAATGGCAAAAT